GTAACAGGCAACTACCATCAACAGAATAGACAGAGTAGTAAGCCACTAGGCCTTTGTATACTTTGCATAAGAGGCATGGTATTTTTTAAAATTTTCAAGAGAACTGCTCCAACCTATTGCCACTGTGGACTTATATAAATAAAGACCATGCTTTGTTAAAAGCGGTTAAATATGCTTAATATGTAAAACTAGATTAATTGGGGCATGGTAAAAGAAATAAAGTACATGCACATTACTTCAAATAAAAAAGGAATGCCCTTTTTACACACAGAGATGTCACACAAACAAATGCAAACTTAGATCTAATTGGTAAGGACTTACACGACCATGGAAAGAAAGCAGAAATAATGACAGATTTCACAATAGTTAAAGGAAGAAGGGCCTTTTAGTTAATCAAGCATGGAATTGGCACACAGAAAGAGGTTTCACATATATAACGTTCCTACAACAAATTTTCACTAAATCCTGATAATCATTTAATCAATGCTTTCATCATCTCATTTCAACCACTTTATACTCTCTCTTATGCTGGTAAAATGTAAATTGATTTTGGAGCACCCAACTTGCTTCCTACAAGAACATGTTAACTTCGTAAGGCTCCCATGTTATGAGAATCTGCAAGCTAGCTCCCAGTAAATTTTCATCTTATACTATTAAAAAAATTACATATATCCAACCACTGATGAATCACAGGTGGATTTATTACCAAGATAAGCGAACACGTGGCAACATATACCACAATCAAATAACCACAAAATAAAAATAAAAACCTGTAATAAACTGAGTAAAATTCCCCATATGCCCTTAAAATTAGAAAAGACAAGTCCCTTCTCATAGAATACATTAATGTAAAGGATAAGTGTTGTGGTCCTAAACATTTAAAAGCTACACATAATGTGAGAACAGTTTTTTCAAATGCCCAAGGAAACGAAAAACTCCAAGCACTCCCTATGGAAACATGGTCGAAATCAACTACAAAACAAATTAACCATTAACATTTATCCAATGGACTGTTGGATTGAGCAAGCATTAGATCACCACGTCTGCAGGCAACATTTTTCAGCAGCTCAAATGTTGGTAGCTTTTACTCTGGGGCAGCAGGTAGCCTTTTTGCCACCAAAAAAAAATAAATTAAACTACAAAAGAAATTGCCTATTGTTGTATTAATTGTATTTATTACTAGATTATTTCATGCAGGGGCATCTATAGGGCTCTACAAAAGTACTTGGGAAGTTAGTCAATTGGGCTAGGGTTCTATTTACTTTAAGTCACCTCTTTATGGTCTCGACACTATTGCCCCCTATCACCTGATCTGGTTGATACGAATAGGAAGCAGGGCCTTGGTTAAAATGGACGTCACCTTGGGACACGTGGATAGCCACCCCGTGTGGCTAAAAGTAAGCCAAAAGAGCTCAAACTCTATCATTAGTTACTCCTTTCGTTTTCCTATTCTTATTAGGATTTGATTTCATTTCCTGTTTTGGTCTTTAATTTTCTTTGTCAATTAGGTTTTCTGGATTCTAGTATAAATAGGCTATTAAGAGACTCTTGTATGGAGTTTTTAATGAATATAATTCCAGACTTTTAGTCTATAGAGTTTCTTTTGGGATTTTTGCCCTAGAACTCAATTATCTTTGTTCCAAATTCTATTCTATAGCTTTATCCTTCTATTGTATGTTTGGATCACTGGACAACAGCTTATAGCAGCTGCCCTGCATCAAATTGGTTTCAGAGCCAGGTTAAATCTTTGCTCCACACCATGGTTAGACGTGCTAGAGGTTGTGGACGAAGGAACCAAGCCCAACAAACAGAGATGGTTGAGATGTGGCGTATGATCGAAGATTTGTCGAGAGCGGTGCAAGCCCTCCAATGATAGGAACGCACGGATGCCTATATGGAGATTCCTAAGCGCAACCGTGAACCCTTAGACATACTCGAAGGTCGTCATAAGGATGACCTTTAAGAAGATGTAAACCCCTTCCATGAAGCTGGAAACTATGGTGATGGTGATCAAGGTGGATTGGAAGGAGTGATTTGCTCTACTTCTTCAATTAGTTTCCTAAATTTGGATATCCCTCCCATATTTGATCGTTGTTTTGAAGACGATTGTGAAGTTCGTTTTGGGGTTGGGAAATCTTTTGACAAGGTATTTGGTGAGGTTAAAAAAGTTGAATCTAACGTAATCTTGAAGGCAATGGATCAAGAGAAGGTTGGGTCTAATCATTTGGAGGAACACAATCCATACAAGTTTGAAGGAAAGGTGATACAATAAAGTACGGAAGGAATCTTTGAAGATGAGCAAATAACCCTAAATTTTTGAGACCATGTGCATGCTTTAGAAGCTACTAATTCTAAGTATGTTGATTTTCTTAGTGTTGATGCTTTCAGTTTGAACATTGCCAAGACCTTTGTTGATTGTGTCAATCTAAGTGTTTTTGGGCTGAGAGATTGGTTGCATAAGATAATTGGAACTGTTCCAAAAGGATCAAATATTCTAAATATCTATTTCTTTGGAGTGGGAAGGTTCAATTTCAAGGTCAAAGTTCTATGGACAGTTTATGTAAGCAGAGGTTCTGTTTAGATAGTTTTCATCAAAACATTTGAATTCGAAGACGAATTCTTCTCAATGCGGTGGAATTGATGCAAGAAAATAAACATAAGTGTTCAAGAATGGTCGTAATATTCAAAATACCTCTTTGTTTGGAAAGGAAGAATTCAGTTTCAAACTCCAGGGAGTCTTTGATGATAACGATTTAGACTCGAGTATGAGTATTTTCCAAGAGTACTTGGGTCGTTAGTCAATTGGGCTAGGGTTTTTACTTTAAATTATTAGTTACTTTTTTGTTTTCCTATTCTTACTAGGATTTGATTTAATTTCCTATTTTGGTTTTTAATTTCCCTTGTCAGTTAGGTTTTCTGTATTCTAGTATAAATAGGCTACTAAGAGACTCTTGTATGGAGTTTTTTAATGAATATAATTCCAGACTTTTAGTCTATAGAGTTTCTTTTGCGATTTTTGCCCTAAACGTAATTATCTTCGTTCCAACTTCTATTCTATAGCTTTATTCTTCTATTCTCTGTATTTTGGGTATGTTTGGATCGCTGGACAGCAGCTATAAGCCGCTGCCCTGCATCACTATTTTAGATCAACTAAGTACTCATGATCATGCTTCTGCAAGACTGCAAACAACATCCTAGGTAGCTCCAATCTAGGTAGCTTCTCTGGCGAAAAGTAGCCTTTTCGTCACGCCAAAGCGACTCTTGCTCTACTCCAGGAACAGTTTCAGTCTAGATAGCTTTCACTTTGGTGGCAGGTAGTCTTCCTGCCGCATCAAGACAACTTTACTGAACGGAGTACTCTCTACAGTCCTCTCCAGTTAGTCTTCTTCAGTTAGCCTTCTTCAAGGTAGACCTTTTCATCATTTAAACCATGTACTCTGAAAGTAGGTAGCCCTTTCCAATATTTGTGATGGCTACACTGTACCAGTTCTAGTTAATAAGTTTAGGGGCCCTGTCTTGGCATCAGTTTCGCCATGCAAGCTGCTTTGATACCAAATGTAGCAAAAGATTGACCAACAAAATTAATTCAATGCTTTGAATTATTTGGGATCATGACAATATCTTTATCTGATTGTGTTCTTATACAATTGGGTAATGCTAGAGTAGTCATAATTGTTGTGAACAAAATTGGAATATTTCCTTCATATTCATTCAGTTGGCCTTTTATAAAAAATAAAAAAAATTTCTTTCTTTGGTACCCATAAATCCACCAACCCGCTTTGCGGACACAGCTTTGAAACTGTGGCCCCGGTCGAACCCTACAATCTTTGGGAGGCGGGAAACACTACTCAGACCACATGGGAGCAAACCATGGGCCTGACCATCCAACTAACCCCATGATGGTAATTGGAGTGTGTTATATAATCCTCCATCTTTTAGTATGCTCAACAATCATTTTATCAAAGCACATAAACCATAGTCTCACCTAACCATAATTACCTACATAAACTTCTTTGTAGTAATTGCATCAGTAGTGAAATTATTTCAGTTTGATTTTCTTTTCGATGTAATTGTGAAACCTCAATAGTGGGTGAGTATTAAATTCTTTTAAACACTCTGATGCACTCCAATTAATTCCTCTTTCTGATACTTTGTTCCGATTCTTCTGAAGCTTACATGAGTCATTATTTTGTTACCTTACTCCACCTAGCTCCCTGGAATACTTCTCCAAATTTGCAATGACTTTATTGGTTTTGAAGCTTTATTTTATTCTTCAATATCATCGACATATTTCAGGAGTAGTTTGGAGCTGTCTAACTTTAGACCAAACCACCTATTCCTATATTCACGTAATATTATCTTGTGAAATTCTTAATCTATTTCTTATCCAACTATATATATACACAAAACGATTGTAGAAGGAATTGGGAATTTAATGATTATAATGCATACATACATACATTAAGGAATTCACGTCCGAAGAGTTTATTAAAAACACTGTACAACTGTTTCATCAAAGAAAAAGGCAACCAACAATTCTGATATATTCAACATGTATAAAAATTCTCAACAGACTGTCAAACAAAACCAAAACATCTTCATTCTAGTAACAGTTGAAGATAACAAATAGGAAAATAAGAACAAAAGAGCACCAGCAAATAAATTTTATTTGCAACCCTAAGTTTACAAAAACCACTGCCGCATCTAATTTTGCAATCATATCAGTCAAATCACGCTCTACAGGCCATCCTATCATACTGTTAGCATTTCTATGGACCCATTTCCTCTACCAACTACATGCTCTTCATTAAAATAAATATGAAAATGATACTTACACAACTTGTGGTGTATATCTGGTAACATTGATTTTCAAACGCTTCAACGACTTCTGTCAATTATAGAAAACCTACTGTCATTAGTAATATTCTGAACATTCAGTAATACCAAGTGTAAATGCACCAAGAGTTGTGTGTAATTAATGTTACCTCGTACGGGGAACGATACAGTACGTGGAATGGATACAGGTTCGGTAATTTCTATTGTACGGATTCGTTGGGTGTTGGCATAGTCGGTAGGGAATTTCAGGCCGCAATTTGTTTGAGACCCCATTACTGCATAATGGAGACTTCTCCATGCATGCACCTTCCCCTTGGAACTGGAAGCCGAAACATCTCCTCCAGCACCTCCCTCTTTCACATTCTCTATTTTTATTTTCTTTTTCTGATTTCTCAGTAGTTAATAGACTCAATACTCAAGAGTCAAGACAGAGTCGCAGACTCATATTCTTCTCGTCTCTCAAGTCAGACAGTTTACCTCAGACTTACCCATCTTCATCTTCTTCCTATTCCTCAACTGTCAAGAGTCACTGAAAGCTCATCTTCTTCCCGCTTTCTGAAGAATCACCAGACATTGAATTTTGGAACTTTGGATGAAGATGGAACAGTGATTGCCCTAAGTCACCCAACGCCCCAGAATCACAAGCATCAACCATTGATGCCTACAACAGAGATGGGTCATTTTTCCTTGTTTTTTTACGATTTGAGTTTGCAAATCTATTAAACCTTACAATCATCTAGGATGTTAGTTTCTACGATTTGGGTTGCGATTGGGACAATCGAACCAGTTCGTAGTTCACTGGGGGGAAGGGGGGTGAACGACATTTCCATACAACACTTTGGGAAAGTGAGTGCATTTGTTTCTATAAATGCACATCATTTCTTCTATATACGCCCCTAAATAGGTTCACTCAAAATGAAGCTATTCATCAGCGACGTACAAATTTCGTAGCCTAGCACATTTATCTTTCTACTTGATATGTGTATTGATAGACAGTTTAAAAACCATCTTAAGTTTCCATAAATAAAAAAACCATTTCAATTTGTTCTATTATAGTACAACTTGTTATCGGTCAATATTTGTAATAAATAAGGTTTTCTTTTGATGTAACTTTCTTTTGACATCTTTCTTAGTACATGGTCCGGGAAGGTTTTCACACTAAGAATCTTTTCTTTGGAACTCTAAAAGTTATGTAAAATTTTAGTCTACATTTACTGTTATAGGACATGAGTTTGTACGGATTTCAGACACTTTGGTAGATATGTAAGAAAGGAGACAACACCAAAAAGAGAGGGACGTGTCTCTATTAATCCATTTTAAATTTGTATTCTCGTGTGGATAATCATCATGGTGATCTATATATGCATATACATGTACATTTATAAGGAAAACGTTCTCTTCCAAAAAAGTCTGAGCATATTATGTTACCAGTCTGCGAATCCAGAACTATTTATCAAGTGGATTCTTATTTTGTTGTGTGGGTTCAGACAACATAAGTATCTAGCAAGAGATGAATTCCCTATACATATATATATTATTTATATACATATACTATAATAAGTATATGTATATAATATATATATATACACATTCATTAGGGAAAGTTCTCCCAGTACAAACACATTAAAGATAGGTTCTGTTATAAGCATACATATATACCAAAGGATTAAGAAATGTATACTTTGGACAAGATTTATGATCCAAAGGAAAAGGCACTGATTAGATTGCTAATACATATGAATGTTTGATTGATGAGCTTGGTTCCTAGGATTAAATGCCGGTTACATATGCAAGAATCACTTTACAGGGATATTTCATTTTAACTACCACCTTTGATCAGTTCTTAATTGCATATTCATAAAACCATAATTGATTATTCATAATTGATTAAAATCAAAGGAAAACCGTTCTGTCTCATATAACTTACAGGAATCAAACATAGTAGATTTTGAAGATTGTGAGACAAGCTACCAGATCAATTAAATGTATAAAACAACAAAAGGTATAATATAAATGTAGTTATACTTAGAAAACTAAACAAAAAATGCATAGAAATAAACAACAGAGATTAAATTCTCACCCAACAATGGAGAGAGAGAGGAATACATTTTTACCTTGAAAAGATGCTAATGTGTTGTACGTGATGAAACATGCAGACAAATCCTTCGCATTCCTTGTGAATGGAATTTGGTAGATAGGATACCTAATAAACAATGAAGAATCATTTGTAAAATTCTTATATTTGTATCTCTTAAGACAAAATATGAAACGAAAGTAAACAATGGTGAAAAGTACGTCAGGTTGAGAGTAAGATATTGTTCTAATATTTTTCTCATTGCACACAAAAGATGTTTCCTATGAGAGTTGAAGTTGCAATGTCCTACCTAGTGACACTAAAAATGAATTACTTTTTTTGTAACGTCTGTACTGTTGACAAATAATAACTAGAGTTAACTCCAGTTGTTTGTAGTTTGTCTTGCAGAGGCAACTACATTCATCTTAACATGGATTATAGTTTATGAAACAGCTTCCTGGGGTTTTCTTTTCATTGATCAAGGAAACATAAGAAGTCAAAGATACTAGTAAAAGGCCAAAGTGGAAAAACAAGATACTAAGAAACATTGAAGGGATCTGCAAATGGAAACGCAATATACTCTATACTGATAAGTAGAAAGATTAGTATCGCAATCTTCAATCGAAAATTACTAGCAACAAGAGCAAAAATCGTGCATACCACGCAACAGCCATCCAGCTATAGGGAGAAAGCTGCACGCTTTGAAACTTCAGCAGAGCAGGATAATTCTGAGCTAGCTCATTGATCTGATCAAACATCCCATTGAATATATGATCAATAAGAGTTATCAAAGTTGACTTTTTCTCAAGGGAAATTTATAAAAAATAAAAAAAAAGGCGATAGAATTCGAAAACTTGTAATGAAGAAATGGAGGGTTATTGGGATATTTGCCTTGTCGGTGAGCGGAACTCTAACATAAGGACTGGCTGTTTCATTGTACTGGCAATACAGGTGGCCAAAGCGATCAGTTGTTTGGCATGAGAGCGCATGGTCACTGGTAGAATCATCCGAAGTGACATCTGAAGAGTCACTCTCGAGTTTCGGTGCAGAGCTTATCCCTAACCTTGTTACCAGAAGAATAGCAAGCGAATCAGAAATTAATCGGAGAGTTTTGAGCTCGAGAAACAAAGGAGATAATACTTTTTCAAATACCTGGAATAATAATCAACGGGTTTCCGAGTATATATTTGGAGAGCAGATAAGGATGGAGAATAGTATTGTAAGACGCTATCGCCGCTGTTGAGGAGAATCGGGACACCGGCACCAAAGCAACTCCAATCCTTGTAAAACTTCCAAAGGTCACTCAAGGAGAAACACGCGATACCGCTATTGCCAAGGGATTGCGAAAGGCACCCATTTAGCATTTGCATAGGAATCTGTATGTTATAATATATTTATAAATATTCACAAGAAGAAAAAAAAAAGTTTATTAAAATAACCAAAAACAAAAAATATTATATGAAAAGTTGAGTTTTTTTCCTTTTTCTTTTTCTTTTTATATGAAAAGTGGAGATTTGGGAAAGTGACTCCTAGCTACTTGTAAACTACTTTAGAGTCTGTTTGGGAGTGCTTTTTCACATCTTATTATATTCAGAGACAACTGAGATAGAAATGAGAAATAATGAATCAAAAGATGAAATCATTTTAATGAATTATTCAACATATTATGAATGAATGAATAATTAATTTTTTGATAACACAGTCTATCTATGAAAAAGGTTTTTACCAATATATTTATAAATATTCACAAGAAGAAAAAAAAAGTTTATTAAAATAACCAAAAACAATAAATATTATATGAAAAGTTGAGTTTTTTTTCCCTTTATATTTTTCTTTTTATATGAAAAGTGGAGATTTGGGAAAGTGACTCCTAGCTACTTGTAAACTACTTTAGAGTCTATTTGGGAGTGCTTTTTCACATCTTATTATATTCAGAGACAACTGAGATAGAAATGAGAAATAATGAATCAAAAGATGAAATCATTTTAATGAATTATTCAACATATTATGAATGAATGAATGAATGAATAATTAATTTTTTGATAACACAGTCTATCTATGAAAAAGGGTTTTTATAGTTAAAATTTTAAATAATCCAAAATTACTCTTATTTAAGAAAAAAAAGATTCAAGTACAACAACTTCATTTGAAAAAGAACCAAGACGTAAAACAAGAAAGAAAATGTAAAAACAAGATTGAAAACAAGAGAATTGTTACCTTGGGAGGCTGTTGTTGAGTAGGGACTGAGGGCGTTATAGATTGAAGAAAACATTGGAAGTTGGAATACTCATTGGGATTAGAGAGCATAGGTATGTCCCAGGGAGAGTAAGGCATGATTTTGATCGGATGTGCTCCGGTCCGGTGCTGCTGCTGCTGCTCTCTCTCTCTCTCTCTCTCTCTCTCTCTCTCAAGAGATGATTGATTGAAATTAAGTTGGCAAGATTCTTCTTTCTGCACTTCGAAGTGCTCAGCTGCTCAACTTGCTCAGCAGGTATAAAAGCAACGAAAGGAAAAGCAGCATATATACACATTGTTAGACTAAGAAAGGAAAAAAAAATTAAAATTTCATATAAAAGCAAGCATAATAATTCATTTGTTGCATAAATAAAAAAAGGGGGGCTTAGACAATCCCCTCCCCTGTAATTAATTGCAGTGTATTTTTGCATTCATATGCAGCATATTATAGCATTGGCAACCCTTCCCACTCTTTCCTACTCTCTCTCTCCCCTGTAATGTCTGTCGTCTTGCTCACAGTCACAATTACCTTAGCCCAGTAATTTAATCTCAATCTCTTCTTTTACTTTTATGCACAAAGCCAGATATTAATACATCTGTCTTTTTCCTTTTTATTCAATTTTCAATCAAAATATATGGAAAGTATATGTGTGATAATCCAAAATTAATTTATGGAAGGAAGAAAGAAACGAGATTTAATTTGAGGAGACTCGAAATTAAATGGTGATGAATTTCAAAGTACCGAGCGAGGGAGTGACCACTGACTGAGGCAACAAACAGATTGCACACGCTTTAAGTCACTTTCAAGCATTGAAAAAAAAAAAAAAACCTCCAACCATATGCAGATGGCAGCTTTAGAAGTTGAATAGAAACAATGACAGCAACCTGATTTCACATTTGGAATTTTGTAGAGGAGGCCAGATTCGCCCACCAACGAAAATGTTATGGAAATTTGCAACCCCTTCCTTTAAAAATTTGCTCCCATGAAGAATTTGGTAAGGTTTTTATGCCAAAGTTAGGAAAGAGGAGTGGGAAAAGACTCACACACACAGGTACGATCGGAACTTGAATTCAGGTCACTTGGGAGCACACCAAAAGCTTAAGAGCCAATCCAATTAAAACCTCATTGTCATTGGTGACCAACATTTGTGTTTGGAGGAAGTATTTAGAAGTGCCCAATAAACCCTGTGTTTTTTAAACAAGAGATATTGGAAAAATCTCGTCTCCTGAATAGGTTAACCAAACAAATTATTTTACAAATATCATCATTTGAAGTTCCATTACTTAAAAGTCATTTCACTTGTATTATAGTTTCTCGACCAATTTTAAAATTCTTTTATGAGAGATTCACTATTATACCCAATACAGGAGCCTAAATTATAAAAAAATCCTATATGAAAAGAACTTTAGAAACACACCCAAAACTCATTTACAACATAACAAAGGGAGCTAATTTCCCCACTTCCCTTTTCTCCACTTACACTCCCTTTTGCTTTTTAATACTTTTTAATCAATTTTGTTCTTTCTCTTTACTATTCTATCCTTATGCTACATTAATTTCTTTTTTACTTCACTTTTATATTATTTCTTTCTTTTTATACTTAATTTTCCAACTTACACTCCATAGGGAAAAAACTCTTAATTTCTTACTCGATTAAAGAAAAAAAATACTGAAATGGAGTGCAAGTTGAAAAATTAAATATAAAGAAAAAGAATTAATATAAAAGTGAAGTAAAAAGAAATTAATGTAGGGTAAGGATAGAATAGGAAAGAGAAAGAACAAAATTGATTAAAAGTATTTAAAAAGCATAAGCAAGTGTAAGTGGAGAAAAGGAGAGTGGGGAAATCATATCCCCATAACAAAAAAGCTTTTAACTTATTTTAAATTACAAAACTGCCATTGATTTCTTAAAACAAATCCAACCCCAAAACCTCATAAAAAAAACCCAAAACACTCAATAGGGCATCAAAGTAATTTAATAATCAAAATTAAATTCAATAGGGCCAGCTGTCATGTTTTGGATTTTTTTTGGGCTTGTTTATAGAAATTAAATGGTGTAGGGTTTATTTATAGTTTTAGTGCTAAGAATGGGTATATGACTAGTTTTTGATTTTTTTTGGGCTTGTTTATAGAAATTAAATGGTGTAGGGTTTATTTATAGTTTTAGTGCTAAGAATGGGTATATGACTAAATATCTCTTCTTTTATTGTATCTTTATATATGGATAATTTTTGTTGGATCTGAACTTTTATTTCTTTTTTAGTAATTACTTGTTTTGTAATAGACCTTTTTTACGTATTTGTTCTTTTAAAATAAAGCAGTTGTGTTTTCAAATTATTTATTAAATAATGGTAATTTTGAGTTATCTAAATAAGGCCAGTAGGTATAGTTTTTTAATACCTTAAACATTATAGCTCAGTTGATTAAGCTCTTCCACCTCCACTCATGTGGGCAAAAGTTCAAAACCCCGAGTTACCCAATGAAATTCTGTAAATCTTCCTTCCCCAATCGATTTATACTCAAAAAATTTAACCATAAGAATATTTTACTTTATATAGATATTCTATTCACACCTAGTAACCCAACAACTATATTTTGGCATGTGAATTCCAATCAGAAAATGAAAGAGAAATCTGAAAAAAGAAAGACGCAGCACACAAACCACCCATCTCCCCACCCTCTCTCTCTCTCTTGATCTGCTTAAAGTTTGACTGCCCAAAAAATAGAAGGAATGAGTACGGGCAATTTAGAAACTATAGGGGATGAGATGAGTAGAATTTGTAGGCGGTGGTGTAATGATAGGAGAAAATAGAAACTGGGTGACAATAGCACCACTCATTACATAATTTGTATTTATAATTTAAACACAGTTTTTCTTATCATTCAAGTAGCTTCTATATTGCAAAACAATTCGAAATACTAAAACCGTGTTTCCTACTTTAGATTTTACAGGAGTACAGACAGATTATGAAAAAGGCAGTGGATTATGATATTCACATCATGCGTCCAGGGAGAGGTGGTGCTTTGTAGATTTAAATGTTGTGGCGGTGGCAGGGAGGTGATGGTGAGGTAGGTGGTGGCGGCAATGAAGGCGGTAGGTTGTTAGTGGCTCAAAATTCCAAATTTTTTTCCCACATGAAATTTCTAATTTTTTGTTTTTGTTTTTATTTTATGAATCCAAACAAGGGAAGAAAGTAATTATAACAAAACGAAAAAGATGTAATTCACCATTGACAATGAGGTGAAAGAGGACTTGAAAGAATCTAATATTAAAGACATTACTCACATTTGCAGTTTTTTTCAGGATACCTGTTACAGTAGCACCAATCTTTTACATTAGGAACGTATCTATTTTAAAAAATAATAATTAAATCATCACTGATGCAACCAAAGGATACAATTTGATGCTACATATTCGGTTAAGTGTGAAACGGAGTGGTATCTCTTCTCCGCTGAGCAGAAATGGATTGGTAGTTCCCAAAACCGTGCAGACAGGATGTATACCGACATGTCAATTAGCCTCTCGTTTTAGTGAATAGTTTAGAATAAGCTTGTAGTTAATAACTCCACTTAGCATTAATGTACAACCAGGGGATGCCCGAGCCAGGCCCCACGAGACACAGAGCGTCGCGTCGATAGCCAGCCATCAGGTGTGGCAAGAAGAGGGGTCCATAACTCCAAAATGCACAAACTCCCTCCAGACTGCACTTTCACTTTCAGTCATGAAACTTCCTGAAGAGCTAGATTCAACTCTTGTGCAGACTTTGCAATTGATCCTCCTCTTCTATGGGCAAAAGAGTGAACAAAAGGATATTGGCATCTCTGGCATAATGAGTTAAAATGCAAAACAAAGTGTGGTCAAGCCAACTTTAAAAATCTAAAAAATTTGAAAACAGGCACCTGGTAAGAGCAGACAAACAGGTTTTGACTTTTTCAAGCTCCATAAAACAGTTGTTGCAACGCTCCAGCCTATGATAACCAATTCAAAATAGAAAGCCATCTCAAATGCGATCAATGCTTAAAATCCAAATATAAGGTAAAGAAAAATGTGTATCAGAACAAACAAAGCATACCTTTGCTCGGCTTCAATATCAACACCAACAGATGATGATGCGGATAATGTTGAATAGATCACAGAACCAAATACTCTAACCAGCTTGAGCAGCATTTCCAAAGAAATGCCTAAATGCCTGAATACGGTCAGTCCATCAAATAATGAGCAGCAAATTTGCAGATGAAAGATTCCAAGCACAAAATCCAATAAGTACTGGTTGAGATTTTGTTTCACAATTAGCCTTAGGAATGTTATAATTGCCTATCAAATTTAGAAAATTTGCAGATGAAAGATTCCAGGATCATAAAATACATCACCCAGGTACATCCATCCCTGGAGAGAATTGTGATTAGAGTCCCCTCTTCCACAGCCACCAACAACCCACCCTCCCGCCTTTTTCTTTCTTGATTCCACACTTCTTTAAACAATTGTTCCCATTAGGTGAAATTACATGCAACAATACAGCACTGCTTCTACTTCTTACAAAACATCTACCTAGTAACACAATTGCTCACATGGCATGTCACAAGTTTCATTCAACCTCCGCAGTACACCAGAAAACCACATGGCATTCCATATTATGAGTAAAAATTAAGTTAGAAGAAAAGGACAAAGAAAAAAGGATAATCTCTGCAGGCAACATTACTCCTAAAAGAAGAGACAAAAAAATAAAATAATATCAAAGGCTCAAAGCATATAAAGTTGAAAGAAATAACATATTAGAATGATTTCCCATAGACAAAGCTCACCAGCTTTTCCAATTGCAAACCCGAAAGTGCGACCAGCTCAAATAGCCACAGCAAGTCATATTTAAGGAGAACATGCCACAACAAATGAGTGGATGATACTTCTATGTGTACACATTGGGGTTGGGAAAACACTGGGGGCGGGCAGATAGAATAATAGGAAAAAGACAAGAAATCAAACTTTTTTAATAGATGGCTCAGACGATTGTAGTACTGCAGTGCAGTTGACTACAACTAAAACTCACAAAGAAAAAACAATAAAAAAAAGGAAAGTTTCTAGAAGCTCTCCACATGAAACAATTTGATGTCATTAAGTTTCCAGAAGGCCGCTACCTAACAAAGACCCCAAATAATTAAAAAAAGAAAAAGAAAAAAGGAAGAGGTTGCTTAAATTCTTACCTATCCATGTTACTTTCTAGAAGGCCATTGAGGAGTGGCAGAAGACAAGTGCATATATCCAGTGTGACAATGTCAATTTTTTCTGTCATAATGCTAACTACATCCGCAATGACCTGGATTAAAAGCCCAAAAAAGTAAACAGATATTTAAGTTCTCACAATAACTGAAAAGGGATATTTGTTCCACATTCAGTAGTATCTAGAAACTGAGGGCTAAGAAAAACAATTAAGCCAATCCACAGAATATTCTTACAGCATGATCAGCCATCTTCTCCATTGCACCAATGACCCCCTTAACATCATTCCTTTCCCAATATCTATAGACTACCTGCAAACAGTTACCCGCAAGATTTGTCAGTAAAATATATACTGTCTGCAAATCGTCACTATTATTATTGTGACTAAGCAACACTTCAACAATTGGTAATTCCTCATTGCAGCTCAGCTGTTCTTAAAGCTTGCTAAACTCCATTTGCAACCGTTAGGTGGTACCATTATTTTTAAAATCTATCATAAACCCTAGCCCCCTTTCTATTCGCTAGTTTTTCTCCCATTCCTAAAGCTAGTATCACAAAACACTGATATAACTGCTACTAAGAAGCATTCAAAAGGTCTTGCATCTTCGTAGCCACAATGTTGCAAACAGGAAAAAAATAACAAAAAAAAAAAGCTCAAGCAAAACCTACAATTAAATAAAGAAGTATTGCATGCAATTTAATTTCAAAAGGAGGACATAATGGACTCTTCTTGGACAGAAAAAAGAAAGAAAAGAAATTATGCAAAAGAAAGAAAGATGGGATACAATAAATAATGGTCAAGAGAGACGAGCTAAGCAAAATTGACTACCCCAATTAACAAGCATTGAGCTCCCACCATCAACTCAAAAATACCCAATGGTCATGTAAAGAAATAATAGATACATAGAGAAGATAACAGCACCACATAAACACTTAAGCAAAGTCTCACAATCAATAAAGATAACCTGTAATTTGGTTGAACGAGATTGCATGGAGCCAACAAATTGGTCATGTTTTTCCATGAGATCTGCAATAGCATCCTCATCACTAGCAGACCCCAATTCTTTTTCAGTAGATGTAGGATAGCCTCGCTGCTTAAACTTCAAACAAACATCCAGAAGTTATCATGAGAAAATGATAGATCTTATACAAGTTCATGGTTTCCACTATGGTATTCAATTCATGGTTTCTAGCAGTTCTCATAAATGAAATCATGAGTAAAGAAAAATATTTTGAGAATTAGCAATAAATTGGCAATTAAGTTTTAACTTATGGTTAAATGTCATTCTTTAAATCGAAATGCTATTCGTCTGCCATTTTCTTAAATGCAATTTGTGATGCGTGTTAAGAAAGAAAGATGTCACAAAAAGGCAGAACAAAAATGTGGCAATACCGCATTCAAAGGGGGAATGTTCACCGCAGATGCTGTTCCCAGGGTACTATTGGGCGTAGGTCCCTCGTAGTTAGAATATCTATCTCTTTTCTCCCAATTCACAGCAAGTGAGCGCATTCTTCCTAGATATACCATATAGAGCTTCAGTCATACTTCACGAGACTAGTCATAGAAATGATGCAGAGGTAAAAAGCTATACCTCCTCTTTGACCTTCAGCAGAGTATGCATCTCTGCTCACCTTGTGCCCTCGAGTTTCATCTAGATAAGAAAAAAGAATAAAGGTCAAAGGTGAAAAAAACAGGAGCTTTAGCATTGGCAGTATGACACTCCATCTCAAGAGGACATATGTACATGACTAAGATAGACAAAACCACATGCACAGTACAAGGCCATCAATCATTAGAGAGAACATTACACAAAATATAGAATTAAGCATTACGCAACAGAGAAACCAAGCTAAAGCACATGGGACATGACAGCATTTAATATGAAAAACATACACATGTTCCTTTAACTGCAATTAATGAATCCAAATATGGAGAATCCATCCTCAGAGTAAGGGTTTGCTGGCAATACCATCATCAAAGGGGTAGTTGTTATTATGATTTTCATGCTCAGAGGCCCATCTGCTTTGCTTTCACACTAGTCTGAGAAGGCCCTTTCTTCGAGTGACTATTTGATAAAAACCTATGTGGAATAATGATTACCAATCATTTAATGAAATGAGATGGCTTGTGGTTCGACTGTATGCTGGGTTCATTCAACCAGTCTTGTACAACCTTTGCAACTGACTGTGAAAATTAACTGTTTGATTCCCAAGCTAGTGTAAGAAGACCTATAACATTATTGTGGTACCAAAAAGCGATTATTTAAGTAGGGGGTGGGGCAGAGGGGAGGGAGATCTCCACCACTCACACACCACAAACACACAGAATGGCTTGAGAAGCTGAGATTAGAAATCTAATATTTACAACATCCTGCCCGAAATAAAGAATTTAAAGTATAAATATAATTTTCACATATTGAAAGCTTGGACAGCTGAAACTAGAAAATCCATCAAACTTACAATATTATGGCTCATATATAGATATGTCATTGATGTGTGAACATCTTCAAATCCATAAGTAAAACTGAGATAAGATATATACCAAAGTTGACAAGCACCTCCAAAATCCAGATCCATATTTACACTAAATTGGAAATATACTAAATATGCCGAACTTCCATTAATATCCTACACCCTGGTGAAAACCATGACATGGAACCAAATGAACTGCATTACTCCAGTCTACCACCATTACTGTTAACACTTATTACTCATAATGACCAGAACAATAAACAACATTCTCATATCCACCAGATTTGTCATCATTCAGGTTAATGATTTATATTTGTTTTGGTAGGTCTAGGCCTCCTGCCTGTGGTGGATGTACATCTGATCCATGTGACATATTCTCAGACAGTTAACAAAAGAAATGATGTTTCAATTGAGACTCAAAACACCTCCGGTGTGAGGCTGAGTCACAAACTTAAACTGTTTTAAGAACACTAAGTATAGTACAAGTTTCTTTTTCTACGTTAAATTTAGTTAAAGTTACAGTTAAAAGAAAAAACTATTAAGAGTGGACTCCCCCAGACCCCCTTTTTTAATTTTATGTTCTGTGATGGAAAAGCTATGAGTGGAAAGAGTGCTACTAAAGATCAGATACATACAACTTTCATGCTGGTAGCTCGCAGTTGCCTCCATCATTGAACTTGTCTCATGCTTCCCAGGTCCAAAATATCTGTCATCCTTTGTGTTCCTTTCAGCAGTATGTATTCCCTGGGTTGAACTTATAACTGTTGAGAAACCATTCTTATCTGCAGCACTGCTTAATTCAGTAGCCTTAGAAGCAGCGGAATCAGACACTGAAGAGACAGTTGGCTTATCCACTTCTTCTCTGCTATTGGACAACTTCCGGAAATCAGTTGCCTTTGACTGCAAAGAAAATGCCAGTGTTCTCCCAGAAACACCGGCCTCTTTTCTGGACTCAGCTGGCAACTCTGATCTTATACTAGTTCTTGGTACAATTACAGGTATGACATCAGACTTGTTAAAACTTGGAAGATTGGCTGTTGAATTGATCTTAGTAGAACTCCTCTTCAGGGTTGTTGCACTAGGAACTGCTGCTGAAGTAGCCGCAATAGTTTTTGGACTGGAGTTCAAATTGATCCTTTGAGGAGTACCAGGAACATTTCCTGCGGCTTCATTCAGGATGGATAGCCAGACATAAAAAGTCTAAACATCAGAGAAGTAATAACAAAAGGACATGTAAAGAGGCCAAGATAAGATCCATGATAAAACAAATCTACAATAGATACACACAAAAATACTCCACAAAGAAATTAAAAACAGTAAAGGTTAAAAAGTTGCCTACATGCAATAACTTTTGGCTCCTTAGTGGGATCTGAATTTTGAGAAACTGATAACCTTCCAAGAGATTTTGTTTCCTTCACTAAAGAATCTGAACATTGGGAAACAGATAGCCGACCCAAACTTTTAGCAGCATTCTCATTGAGTAGTGACAGATTCCCGCCAGACAATGGTTTAGATTCTGTGTGCCCATTCAGTCTGCTAGCATTACCAATTGCATACGGTTCTATGCGCTATGCCAAGCAACAGATCAGTTTGATATCAATAGATAATACCACCAGAGCTAGAAAACAAGAAAACATCTCAATGTAAGAACAAAGATAAACTGAGTAATACCGAGATGTCTACAACCCACACTCCAACACAACTCTGATTGTATGAGCATCCAAGAAGCTTTCCCTCATGAACATTAAGATCTGACAATCGAGACCATCCAACATCCACAGCATCATGGCATCTTATTGGCTCCCACGAGAAAACCTACATACTAAGAGTTTAAGCATGCATATTTCACAACCCTGATTTGTATGAAGGATTACATGAGCTTACCTTCAAACTTTCATGCAATCCACAGAGTAGGGCTCTCCCGTCAGGACTAAAAGTCAAAGAACGCACTCCAGTTGTCTGTTAGAAACTAGAAATTAGACAAATAATCTCCTTATAGAAAGAAAATCCTGAAAACCTTAGCTTCTTGGCAATTTGGACCATTAGCAGTATTCATGGGGTATACCTCAGGTCCAGATGAGCCAATTAACTCAAAGGTTTCAAGGTCCCAAAATTTGACTGTCCTATCAGCTGAACCTGAAAGGAAATGAGAAATAATACATAAGGAACAGATGTGGAGTCTAATAGATGAAAGTATTTCCACCCCTTAACAGAAAGGAGAAATGTCTCACAAATTAATAAAAGCTCAACCATGCATATCTTTAACCATAACAGTTGCAAACTAGCTGAAAACTAAGATAAGATTTAGAACCTAGATGTATGATGTATCTACATATTCCATCTTATGTCACAGAGAGAAGTCGCAATTATTAAACCCAAGGGAGTGAGGGAGTCCTTCTTTGTAGTTGGTCCTGCCCATTGTACAGAAAACCTACTCTAAACAACGCAAAGCCCCAGAGACCAGGGTATTCAATGATCAAAATGATGCAGTTAAGAACCAATGGCTATACAAAACCTAGAATTTTCATAAGAAATGAAAAGAATGGGTTAAACTACTATCTATAGCAAGGGAGAAGCGGCCTACAATGAGGCAATGATCTATGTTCAGCAGTAGGAGGACAAAATGGCACTAAAACATATAAATCCAATATCTTGAGGGACTATTGTGACACACCAAGGATATCGACACCTATTTTCAATTGCCAGGAAACAATGCATTCTAATATAGAGCTAATAACGCAAGCAAAACGCATAACTGATGATTAAAAAACAGAAGTATCAATAACCTGTAGCTAGCAGAAACTCGTGGGGATGAAAATCTATGCACTGAATCTGGCCCTCATGACACTTGAAATCATGCAGCAGCTTACCAGCAGTCAGATCCCACAACTGGTAAAATATTAGATATTGGTTTATATTTTGTCAGAATCAAATGGCATATTTTGGTTTACTATCTACAAGTTACATGTATCAACATCCATAATTGCCCAAGAAGATAAAACCAAATATTTTTCAAGACGAAAGCAATTCAAACCTTCACAGTGTTGTCCTCTCCACCAGAAACAACCCAACGGCCATCCGGTGTAAATCTGATAGCATTGACTCCTCGAGTATGGCCTTTGTATGTGTGAATACACCCCTTCTTCCTGATATCCCATATTTTGAGATTTGTGTCCAGCGAGCCAGATGCAAAGAACTCCCCGAAAGGATGGAAGTCCACAGATATACAATTGGATCTGTGACCAGTAAGTGTGCGAACAACTACACACAAAATCACATTGCAAAAACAAAAAAGATATATGAAAGACAATTTGACAGCATACAGTAGATATCTAGAAAAACAGCCAGTGCAGTTTCGATAGGGGCAGTCTCTTGTTCTGATGATTTAAAGAAATATATTGCAGAGTAAAAAATAAACAGCATACTCTTTGCCTCCTCTAAATCCCAAAGCTTAATTGTGCCACTTGCAGCTCCTGCAGCTACTAAGACCTCTGAAGAATCAAAGCCTACCGAATCAATTCCACTGGTGTGTCCAGATAAACTCTGGGTATGAAGGCACGTTGAGTAGATTAGAATCGACAAAATAACAGAATTCGGTCCAAGTTGATAATTATACAATTTTTGTGGAAAATTTGCATCTGTGTCAGTTAACCTTACAATAATATGATGAGGGCCGAAATCTTTAAATTAAGGGGAGGGGAGAAAAAGACATGTGCCTAGAGCGAGCGAGAGAGGGAGAGAAGGTTACCAGTATGGCATTGGGTTTCCCAATGGCCCAGAGATTGACCTTGTGATCTTCTCCGCCAGTGACAAGAACTCTGGATGATTTTCTGCCAATCTTAAGGCAATTCACAGTTGAAGAATGTGCTACGAATTCCTCTGAGCCACAACCCAGGTTAAGGCTAAAACTTTCGGATACATATTCTTCTCAGTCAGATACTTATACATACATACATGTGTTTAAAGATTAAAATATATATATAGATTGTGCAATCAGCAGGTGAGGGAGGGAGATTGTATGGCAATTTCATGAACATAATTAAATCAAGAGGAGGATACGTAGCTTGTAAGCGCGTTTAGTAGTCATTGGCAAAGAAAGAAAAGAGAAACCCTAGCAATTCTTTCAAGGTTTATCGTTTTTGTAAATAAATATAGCAGTACCAACTCTCCACTCCACACATTCAACTCAAATCTTCCGCCCTTAGAAAAAAAAAATCAAATCTTGCGCTGATTAAGAGGATGCTGATGCTGATGGGGGTTTCATCTTGTTCAGGCCGGATCTCGAAGAATTCAATCCGTACCTTCAAATTTCAAATTTCAAAATTCTATTACAGACAGACTTTAGGGATAGAATAGATTAGATCTTCAGGCTAGAGACTAGGAAGAGAGAAAAATAATAATAACAATAATAGACTCAAGAGGAACAGTAGAAGCTCACAGAATGAGGTACATTATGGAAGGAAATGAACAACGTTGCTTGGTCCTTGGCTTGGAGGCTCCTTTTTTCCGCTCAAGTTGAGGCCGTCTCGACTCTCTGCCTTGTTCCTTCACACTCTACATTACATGGTTTAGTCTCTTCTTTTTCTTGTCAAAATTGAAAACACACGCAACACAGAGACGAAACAGTAGCGTAATAGAGTATTCTTACAAGATAATTAAACTAGGAGGAAGTTACTGTCGCAGCCAGGCAGAGACTGAGTATTATAAGCAAAGGCAAAGGCAAAGGCATGGATTTCCTCGTCGTCTTCTATTTCTCTGCTTCCAACTCCACATCATTTCCCAGCCTCCTCCTCCTCAGTCCATTTCTATTCTATTTCTCTTTCTTTTTTTTTTCTTTTTTTTTGGTTGCTCAAATAAAAAGGCAGCGGCGGGCCAGTGCCAATATATGAGTAAATACGCATATGCAGAGTAAGGCGCTGTCACGAATTGAGTCCCCCTCCGCCCTCCTTAAATGTATAATAACATTTTATTTTTGGCTTTTGTTTGATTTTTTTTTCTTTTTTGTTTTATTGGAATTGTACTTTGAAGTTTATCGAATGATAAAAAATAAAAAACACTTGGAGGAAGTATTGTATTGTATTAAAATCCTCTTCTTCTTCTTTCCAAAGTAGCCTTGTTCCGGAAGATAAATCAATAATCTTAAAATGAGAGCTGGGTCTCTCTCCCTCCTTTCCCAAATCAAAATAAAACAGACTACCCACCCATCACTCACCTTCCTCAACTCTCTCTCACCTTTTTATTCTATATTTATTTTCCTTTTCTTCATGAGAAGCCTTTTCTTCATTTTTGTTGTTTTGGTTTATCAGTTTACTATTTAATCAATCTATGTGGGAGCCACTCTTTACAACTTCAATTAGATGCTGAACTCGGACCCAAAAATAAAAATAGATGCTTCATAGCTTGACCTTAAAAAAGTACGCAAATTGTATAAGTACATGATCACAAATTGCTTACTCTAAGCCCTCGGAAGAGGTAACGATAAAATACGGGACACGATAATTCTATGGCGTAAAATACATGTTATGAAGTTGTCAACCTCAAGCCATCGAAATAGGACTACTTTCAGAAACATCTATATCTGAATATATTCAGATCTTGAAGTACTTGTATCCATCCTCTGTGTTGGTCATCCCCTCTTCCCAATCACCAATTCTATGCCCACCAAAAACTATGCCTAGATATCTGCCAACAATAAAGCAAGGAAACAACGCAATGTAGTCAATATCCGTCCAGTCAAAGATTGAGACATCTCTCTTTAGATTATTCAGACTTACTCTGAGCTCAAGACGGTCAAGCAGTTGAGGAGCACATCCACGGCAAAATAGTCAGCTGTACCAAGGTCTACCCTGTTGTACATTTATATTTGAACTATCATATGGACAAGAATTACAAAGTATTACAAAAAAATTCAACTAAGTTCTGCAACGCATACCAAACACGACCCCAGTTATCCTGAAACTCAACATCACTGATATCATGAAATGAAGATGGCATCACTTTGAAACCCTTATCCACATCATAGAGGGGATTATACTCCATGGAAGAATTTGCAAGCTGCCATCAATGCTATATTAGCACATTTCAATTGTTTTACACAAAGCAACAACTATTACTAGAATTTTAAAGCAATTGACAAGATGAAGCACTTTCTGCAAGTTTCTGCATATGTTTTATAAAGCAAAAGGACCTGATACAATTGCCTCTTGCGTTAGGAAAAAAAAGTTGTAAGCTAGTTGAATAATGAACTCAGTTTGTTCGCATAGCCAAGTACCATCTACAAAAATACTCTGCATAGCATATAATTGATACTATGTTACAATCTAATACCAACAACGCCAACAATATGCCAAACTGATGTGATAGGGACTTCAGTTGTATTAGATTCTGTGGTATAAAAAATATGCAACACAACACAAATACTTCAGAAACCAAATCTCTTCCACTTTTTACTGGTCTACACCCAAATTCCAGTTGTATTATACTGCAAATCCTTTTCCTCCCAAATTTTCAGCAACCGGATGACGCATTGATGAATAAGAATGAGATGTTATAAGCCCAGTGAGGCAAACAAGAAACAGGTTCCTTTTTGAAAGTTGTAAATGGTTCATTATCAAAAGGCTGACTGTAATTACTAGGAGTGTATGCATTTCTGACAACAGGATGTTGTTATATATGTCACTAGCATTACCATGATTGCCACAAAACCCCTGATCACCCCCCATAGTCAAAACCCCTCGCCACTCCTATCATCATATCTTCATATGTTGAATACCAATATACCATTTTAAGATCACCAATCCGGCTAAATTATTCAGAATTACCAATATACCATTTTACAAATGTTCAGTAAAGTTGTAAGAACTTAAGGTCTTAAGCGATAATAACTCACAAAACAACAAAGTTAGTCATAGCAGGCCATGGACGAACCTGCAGATTAGTAGAATTAAAGGCACCCAAGCGTCCCATAACATACCATGACTGAATAACCTGCATAAATTTCCCAGTAGAATCAGTGGAAATAATAAATCATCCAGATAGGAAAAAAGAGTGTTTTTCTAAGGCCTAATGTTCAAAATACAGAAAGGAAGCAATTGGAAATACACTGCCAAAGAGCTCGACGTCACGATCAGATGGCGATCCATAGAATTCAAACCATATGTAGGAATCAAGAGGATTGAAGCTGCCAGGCACCAAAAGAACATTTAATAATATTAAAGAAAAAGCGTAGTTTGCATTTTTTTTTTAAATTTTACAAATCAAATGGAACACTAAGCTACGTTATGCAGACAAGAAAGAAAGAAAGATGAGAAATTTACTCTCTGAAGGTGACTTTGAAGGCAAGGACAGAACCGGTTTTGGATTTACTGAAGTCCCTACCCTTCTTGCGAACTCTTTCTTCAACCCTTTTCCTCATGAGTTCAGGGTTGCCAACGCTATCTCCAAGAACCGCTCGCAGCTCAGCATCGTCTTTGCAGGCGTCTTCCAACACTCTGCGAGAGGGAGGGAGGGAGAGAGACCCAACAGGCAACAGGAAATACATAACAAATTAATAAATAATAAATATGAAAAAGAAAAAGAAAAAAAGGAAAAACAGAGAGAGAGCACTACTTGGCCCAGGCAGGGTAGTTGTGAAGGCGATCGTGCTCGCGTTTCCTCTTCTCTTCACGAATTTTAAGAAGTCTGCGTCCTCTGGCAGTGGTTCCTGAGCCTTTGGCACCACCACCGCCACCCAGACCCAGCTCACTGGTACTGGTATTGGTGCCATTGGCAGTGGCACATACTAGTAATAAGAGCCGAGGTGGCTTTGGCAGATAGGAATTGGGATTGGGGTAGACCGTTTTCTTCTTCCATAAATGACAGTGGGATTCTTCAGTTCTACTACTATTATTATACGGGAGTATAAACCCGCCCTTGGCCCCTGTGGCTATGGCCGCCTTCATTTCATTTATCCACTCCTCTATTCTCTTTGACAAGAGAAAATGGGTTTCTAAATTCCATATTCTCTTTTTTCTTTATCTCCCGCAACCGCAGCGCAGTTAATGAGATACTTTCTCTACTAGAGCAAGAGCCCATTCTGTTTACCAAAGCCGGAAACTTCAAAGCCCATTATATGAATACGGGAATTGGGGTGATTTTCAGACAGATCAGATTGGAATTAGGAGATTCCAATTTCAATCCAAAAATATTCGGAATGAAAATTCTATTCCAAATTCATTCTAAAAAATTTTGGAATAATATCCATTCCAATTCGGAAACTCGGAAGTTTTGGAATATTTCGAAACTTATATATTTTCAAATTGTTTTGAAAAATTTCAAAAATTATTTCAAAATTCTAAAAATGCCCAACCGTTTGAATGATTAAAATCGACTCAAAATTAAAAACTCATACATTAAGCTAAGCTTGTAAAAATATTATACATTAGTACTTATATGTTGTTATCCTTTATGAAATAACTTGTCCAGATCTATTTGGTCATCAAATTATATTTAGTTCAACATGAAATTAGTAATTGTGTGTAGTCTAAGCTTGAAACTCCAATATATTTCAGAATTCAAAATTTTTCGGAATATCTAGATACATTCTAATTCCAATTCAATTTTTATCAGAATTTTCGGATTTCATAACTTTAGGATGTCAAAATTTATTTGGACTTGCCAAAATCGGAAATTTTTGAAACGAAATCAGTCGGAATTGGATTTTCTAATCCAACTTGCGATCTTAGGGCTCAACTCAAAACTTTTGTTGTTGGTTCGGTTAGGACTCAAGTCAAACCGACGCATTTACTTGCATTTAGACATATCTAAACCATACAAAAGATTATTAAATGCTCAAAAACTCCGTCTGAGTACATCCATGAATAAGGTGTTTGAGGGTAAAGGGCAATGTTTAAATATCACACATGTTGCCTCTATTTCAAATTCTCGATAAACTCAACAATATTTTACATGTTTTAATATTTCCCACAATATTTTATTTGTTCATCAAGTTGTTTCTGATAATCAATGTCACATAACTTTCACATCTCACTCCTCATGGATGTTTTGTGAAGGATATAGCTTCGGGGAGAGTTCCATTTCAATTTTTCCCTTCATCCCCTTCTTCGATGTGGGAAGAAGTCTGAGTTCGAATCCCCCTTCATACCTGAAAAGTGAACAGTTGGTTTGATCTATCTTGAAAAGTCTGGGAGTCGTAGAAATCGAAGCATAGTTTCTCAATTGTTCATAGCTCAACGCATCAATTTACAGTACTACTTTAAGTCATGTTAAGGTTAAGCGCATGGAGGTAGGTCATAGATTAAAAATAGAAAAAGATCACATTGCATAAGAGTTACTCATTCCTTATGTCCATCCACCAGAAAATGGGAAGATACACATAAACCAGTGGAGAAGAGGAGCTTTGCTTCCTCCAGATTCTTTTATTAATTGGAAATAAAGTTTTGGTAAAATGCCAAATAGGAACTCGTGGATAGTAAACCATGAGCGTGACATTAGATATATAGTTGGGCCGTCGAGAGATCAACAGCAACATCAACATTCCAATCCAACTAAACTCATGGTTACGAGACTGGCTTCAAAACATACATTTTGCATGCATGAGAGCCCACGGTGGCTGTCAAGTTTCCAACAAATCGTGCCTTCAATGTCTTGTGCTGCATGACAGAGACATATCAGTAAATATCTCACAATACAATACGGCTGCAACGGAGTAGGAAGAACTGAGAAAGAATGCTAATTAAGGCCTGATGTTAGACCAGATAATTATAGGTTATACCTCCCAAAGGTCTCTTGCTTCAACAACACTGTTTGTGGGGATTCCAACATCATCCCAGTTAGCTGTAATGGAATTTCGCAAAGCACCTCGGTTGACAAG